AGAATAACTCTCTTTCTAACTCTTCTCTTGACCATATCTCTCGATATAATCAAAATAACCTTAATATAATGAATGTCAAAATGATCGTAAACGCGACCAATTTAAGATATACGATCAAGAGGAAACATGAACGAATGAAAAATCAAACAAATTTATTTAATAAAACAAAATTTACAACTCAAAAAATTTTTTTTTTGCATGCATGTAGTAAAATTCCATTATTAACTATTAACAATCTAAAAGTCTTTTTTTTGTGTTAATAAATTACGTGAAAAAAAAAGTGAAATAATATAAATATTGTTGGATTAGATAATAATTAGTTGTACAGTATATACGCGCTTTTGTCAATCGATCAAATAAAAATTTTTTTTTATTTACTAGAAATTCCTAAACGAGAAATAAAGAAAAAGGAGGCAAGAAAACGATGCTGTAGAAGCGAAAGGGCAAGTCATTTCATTTAAAAAGAACGGCGGTGGTGGTGGTTATTGTATGCAACTGCTGCCACTACTCTAGACATGTATATTAAAGACTAGTGCCGTAAATTATGATGATGGTAGTAATTGTATTTACGGCGTATAAAAAGTGGTTGCAGTTACCTTTGCGACCACTTTTGCAACCAACTTTTTCCTTTTTTGGATTACGGCACTAGTCTTTAATGTATATATTTTTTTAGCATACTCATAACCCAAATTCAAATACTGTTCCTTGACAACTCCTCAGACAAAAAATTCTTAAAAATGATGAGAGCTACGTAGAAAATCAAAGGGAAGATACTCTCGAAAGATATAAAACATTGATTGTGTGTAAAATACTTTATAATATTAATTATTAAGCGTAATGTAATTTTAATAATCTAACAATTGCATTTTTTCAAAAACAACAAATGGTGATCCTTGGATTTTAAAGAATGAAGTTGGAGTGATAGGAAAAATTGTTGAATTTTTAGATGACCACACAATAAACAAAATGGAATTTAATCACCCTTTACTATCTTGTGTTATTGATTTGATCTAGTGAGCAACAGGGTTGGCAAATTGACTGGTCCATTGAGAACTGATGGACTTTGGACTGGTTCATGGCCATTAATAAAATACTAAATATGGTTAAAGTGTTATACTAATGGACCCAATTGACCACCAATTGACCGCACATTTGCCAACCCTGGTGAGCAAGGTGATGACAAAAATTTATTTATTTGATGAACTAAATGAGATGACAAAATGTAAAAGGGTCACACATCCTGGAAAGCTGTGGATGATGAAATGAAAAAATGGGTTACTAGTCTCGTGAAGACTGATGAGACGGAAAATACCTTCAAGGTTAAATCATGAAGAATGTGCTTACATAGTAAACATACAATGTGTTAAGAAAAAAATTGGCCTGTAAATGATTTTCTAAATAAGTATCCCAAAACCCAAAGCCACACTATAAAAATTATATCAGATGATCGAGAGATTTTAAATTATTACATATAAAAATTTCGAAGCATATTATTATGTAGGTTTTAGAGCAATGATTAAAATACTTATATTAAAATTTTTCTTTTCAAAAATAATCTAATTTGTTTTATTTTTAACCAAGAAAGTTCTGGAAAATATGAATACATATAATTTTATATCCATAATTCTCAGAATTTAAACTACAAATTGACACATTTTTTTACATAATTATTATGTGTGTTTTTGCGTTAGAGCAATTGTTAAAAAAAATTACATGTTAAAATTTCAGAGACAAAAATTTAAAGAAGCTTAAAAAGAAGACATAGTTTGACCTTACAAAAAATTGGCAATATCTTTTTGTATCAAGTTTTTTTTTTTTATTCAATAAAGTAATTGATTGCTTTTAAACTAATCTAATTATCTTGTGTATTTGTTGAGTAATTCGATTTTTTGTCAGGCCAATTTTTTTCTTAACGCACTGTATATACACATTTGTAAGTTTTATTATGTGTAAAGAAAGATTTGGTCAATTTTATTTCAAATCATTTTGATGGTGACATTTAATAATATTTTGTAGAAAAAAACCTGGGAATCAAAATTGTTTGATAATTGACAACAGGGAGATGGAGAGATATTGGAGGACACATACATCCATGAATTTATGCATCACATAATCTATATCATTATTCGTGATTTTTGCCCTTTATTAATAATTAATAAGGATTGAATGGTAATACCATAATATTAATGTATGAGAAAATCGAGGTATTTATTTCTATTTTTAACATGGTGTTTTTAGGGAACGAAAAAATCCAAAGGAGGAAATGAACGAATTGAACAAAATTATAGCCAAGTATTTTTTAAAATGTGAAAAACTGCAAAAAAAACATATCAAAGTAATTTTGTATCTAGTAAAGGACCTGATTGGAAAAGCGTCATATTGTATCAACGATCATAAGTACGAATTTTTATATGGAGAAGCTGCTAGCCCTCCTTTTTTAATGAATGCTTTCAAAACAGAAGGTGATAAAGAAAAATCATTCAATTTCTTCTTCGTTGTGATAGGTCATTAGGTAAGGTACTAAAGGAGCAGTTTCCATCCAACACTGACGATTATTTAATAACATATGCCAGACAGATTCCCTGATTTGGAATGCTTTTTTATGGTATGATTTGATTATTTAAAACGTTTCTAACAAAATTTGATCATTTTGAAATTAGGTACTTGTTTAAAGATTGTTTACTATGACACCTCTTACAAAATCGGGCAAGTTCTACTACTATTAATATGAAACTACCTCTTAATTCTAATTCAGACCAGACCTTGATCGAGAATTATCTTTGTAGGATGTTGATTTTCCAACGGGCTATCAAAGAAACATGGAAGAGTTTTGAAGATTTTAAAAATAATATTAACAGTAGAATGAATGTTTTTGACAATAAAATTTATAGTTCATTGTTAAGAAGATGTAGATACTCCACAATCACCAAAAAGGAAGAAAACAAATGATACAGATACTGCAATAATTACAGTTGAAGAATGATTTCCCCTCTCTAAATATAACTTTAATTATAATAATAAAAGTTTTCTGAAATTGCGTTCTATACGTCAAAATATCATATTTTACCCTCCAATTCCAACTGAAAATGCATTTATAAAACTGATGCATATTTCGGCTGCAATTGCTGTGTCTACAGCAGAACCACCTTCCTTCATTGCTAAAACGAGCTTGATATCAAATTTAATTAATGACGTGAATATAACAAAATTACTACTACTATCATAATTACCATCAACACCAATTTGAGAACATCTTAATTCTTCACTTTGTCAATGATTAAATGTTTCGTTTTAGATGCTTAATTTTTTTTTTACCTGAAAAGGTGATGTTTTTATAATGTCCCAATGCAAGGCAGGATTATTTACTTTGATTTAGTGTCAATGAGAGAAAAGCAATGATTTTTAAAACATGTCTTGAAAATTTGTTCAATGTTTTTTATTGATAAGCAATGCAAATTTTTTTTGTAGTAATGGTTAGAAAAAATAAATAAATCAATATTGGAATAATAAGATCATAAAGGTTTCTACTTTTTGTTGGGCAACAGTGCACCTTCATTCTGTTTATGTTTATTATTTTTCTTTCCTCTTGGTAAATTTCATAGGTAATTCTTTCTTTCTTAGATAAGCTTCAAGTGCCTGAGTATCATTTATTTTGAAAATATAAGGAGCAATTTTTTCGCCTTGTTCCTTTTTCAGAATACTTCTGATAGTACTATAATTTTTGGGTTCCATAGTAGATCTGATGTAAATTAATTTCATATTATTATTTTTATATAGGGATAGTAGTAACACGGTTAAACGAGAAAAGACGTGAGAAATTAAAGAGTATTTAAAAATTTAAAGCTAGTTTTTATAAAGTAAAATATTACATCTTAAAAACTTATATTTACAAGGTAACTAGCTATAGCAAGTAGCCAATTTTTTATCTACTAATATTACAAATTAATAAAAACAACTTACTAAACAAATTGATAGATAATATACAATCATAATAAAATACTACATTGAGTAAATTTTTTCCTTATCAAAGCTCCGATTCAAATGCTCCAATTCGTACACAAGCGATTCATATTCAGCAATCAAGTTTTGTTTATTTTCAACAAATTCAATGTGGTGGCGATTGTGGCGATTTTTCTTCTTTTCCGATTTTTCATGCAAATCTTTAAATAGGTCAAGTGTTTTATCGAAGTTTTTGATTTTATTGCCTAGACTGCTACTTAAAGCGGCCAACACTGCTAAACTTACTTCACTTAACCTCATCACTGCTAAACTTGTTATAATCTGAAAAAATTATGATAATTATTAATATTTAATATTTGTTAATAAATATTATATGTGTTAATATGGACATTACCTGGTTTTTTGTAATATATCCTTCGAGGAATTGACATGCAAATAATCCCAATCCAACAC